AAATTTATTTGTTTGCGTAATTTACATTGAATTGTCAGTACAACGTCAGTCAATAACATTCTTAATTAACATTCGTGCTGCACCTACTCCCATAGACAAAATGTTTCTCTTCTTTAACATATTAGAAGATATTTTTAGTGGAAATTTATCTGGTATAAATGGAAATTAGACTTTTCGCATTTTCGACTCGTTTTGAACCATCTTTCGACGTGTAATTTAAATTTTATGTTGGAACTTGCACTACTTTGGGCTATGATGTTACTTAGAGTTTATTATGTAAAAATTATGTATTATGCGCCCTATATTTTCGTAACTGACTGTACTCGTATTTTTCGCATCTTCATCCCGTGTCACCAGCTCGATATTTTAACTACTACTCAATATACTTAGTTACCTCAAGTACTCGCGACTTTTATGAAGTTTTCTCTACTTTTATGAATTTTTGCTTAAACGTTAGAACTTTTAATTTTGTATTTATGCTGATATATTCAATGTCATTTATTTTTCGATGGAGGTAAGGTCATTGCATTTAGGTATTCCGGTCATGCACCATTCTACTCAAGAGAAAGGGCATTGGGCACTCTCTGTAGGCACAGGAGTGTCACCTGCCGCAGTACATCATCCACGTCTTGTTGAGCGATCAATAGTGCCCTGAACTAAAAGTGACCGGGAATCGTACGCAATTGCGCTTCAAGGGGTCTAGTCTGGACACCGGTCGAGATCGATACTGGAAAAACCAGTCGAGATTCTCTTTCCACTCGACAACAGAAGGGAGAGCGAGTCTGGCCCCTTCAAATTCCGTCGGCGGAAAGTGAAGTGGAAATTCCGTGCGGAAGGGACGTTTATTGCATAGCAACCAGTCTATCTCACCTCTACATTGCTCCAGGCTCAGGGGAAGGGGGTAGTTTGTTGTCAAAGGGGTTGTTTCGCACGTGCTTATTACTGAGGATGGCGGTAGAAAAAAAAATTGAATTCGAGTAAATGGTAAATTTTTCGAAAAAATACGCTGCTGGATTTAGTAAAGAGTATGGAAAAAAGAAATGGGGAACTTTAATGGATATTTTAAAATCAGAAAGAAATGGCCTTTTCAAAACTTCAGGTATGTGAAGAAACGTAAACATAATTTTACGTATGATCTTTTGCAAAATGGAAATTTTCTAAAAGGTTACATGTTTGTAAACTATTTGTTAACAGGAATTTTATGATTAAAATACATTAGTAGTGTACAAATGAGAGAGCTGGCGCAGTGACCTTTGGGGGCGAAACAATGACTGCGAAACCCTCCATTAAAATCGAACCCACTTTTAGAATGTGATGGCTCTCCAACCCTCCATTAAAATCGAACCCACTTTTAGAATGTGATGGCTCTCCAACCCTCCATTAAAATCGAACCCACTTTTAGAATGTGATGGCTCTCCAACCCTCCATTAAAATCGAACCCACTTTTAGAATGTGATGGCTCTCCAACCCTCCATTAAAATCGAACCCACTTTTAGAATGTGATGGCTCTCCAACCCTCCATTAAAATCGAACCCACTTTTAGAATGTGATGGCTCTCCAACCCTCCATTAAAATCGAACCCACTTTTAGAATGTGATGGCTCTCCAACCCTCCATAAAAATCGAACCCACTTTAGAATGTGATGGCTCTCCAACCCTCCATTAAAATCGAAACCCACTTTTACAAACGCTACTTTTCCAAAACGCCGCTTTTACAAACGCCACTTTTCCTCTTCATCGCATGCTTCTTTTGCAAGGGGACATTCGTCCCCCACATAATCCACTGGCATGGTATATTTAGTGAGGGTATTAATTTATACCATCAGTGCACCATTATGTATGGCTTCTAGAGCGTCAAAGGAGAGACAATGGGTAATTGATTAATAATACCTAGTGAATAATAAAAGCATTTAAAGAGAAGGTTTGTAGTATATAGAAAGACAAAATGGATTTTCAATCAAAAACAGTTCGACAGTTACAAGATTACTGTCGAGAAAATGATATTCGAGGATACTCGAAACTTAAAAAGGTGGAACTGATCGCCCTCATTCAATACCACAACGGCTTTTCCAGGTTCCACAATGACTTGTTTATCAAGCGAAAGAAGAAGAGGGAGCTAAAAATCAGGTGTTGCGGAAAGTTAATAAAGGAATCTAGCATAAATAAGCACTTACAAACTAAAGCTCATCAAAACTATAAGCCTAAGAAGGCCAGCCAGGAGGTTCACAGAGATGATTTTGACAATATGCAGGGGCTGCATCATATGACCATTAACCAACTACGTGAATTTTGTCGATCGCGTGGCATCGCAGGCTATTCCAAACTACGGAGGAAGGCAGACATCAAAGCATACATAGAAAGCGTTTTGTTCAACCGTCACTTCGAATTTGATTCCGACCTGTTTTCAGATTCGCGAGAGAGAGAAGGCTATATACCCCCAATGAAATTGATACGGCTTTTGAAAACCGTTTGGTGACGTATGATGTCCAAAATGAGCACAATCTGATGCTTCCCAAAGACTTCTTGAACGATGTTTCATCACTGGTCCGGGGTCTTATTACAAAACATCTGAAGAGGCTGCATGGCTTGAAGGTTAATTTCCAATTTCTCTGTGACTATGAAAAAGGGAAAGATGAAACGATGACAGAAATGGAGAAAAACTTCAAAACAAAAAATGAAGTCATCTTAGAATCAACTGATTTGGTAGCTTATTACAGATCAGTTATCCAAAAATTATTGACGGAGATGGAGGAGTTTGTTGCAAGGGGTTCAGGTTGGACGCTTGCTAGAATCAAAAGTCTTGAGGTGAGGATCAATAAGTACACCCCACTGAGAGGATCATCCTACATTGATTTGTCAAAAGTGATTAAAGCTAAAAAAGCAGTCATAAACGTAAAAAATGAGAATGATAATGAGTGTTTTAAATGGGCGATACTGTCTGCACTACATCCAGCAGAAAAAGATGCCCAAAGAGTCACCAAATATAAGCCATATGAAAATGAGCTAAAGTTCGAAGGCATTGAATACCCAGTAAAGATGGAAGACAGAGTACTCGAAAGGTTCGAAAAATTGAATAACATATCAGTGAACATATACTCATACGATGAAAAGACTAACATATACCCCTTAAGAATAAACTAAGCATAAAGTAGATAAGCATGTCAATTTACTTTACATAAGAAACGAGAAAGGGAACAGTCATTACTGTTGGATAAAAGACATGTCCAAATTAATATGTGGGCAATTAACCAAGCATAATGGAAGAGTATACCCATGTGAAAGGTGCCTGTTATTTTTTCACTCTGAGGAAGATCTTCAAACGCATGAAAAGGATTGTAAGAAAAATCAGGCTGTTAAAATAGTAATGCCTGAAAAAAGATTCAAAATTAAAGTTCAAACATTACCATAAATCGCTACGAGCACCTTTTGTAATGTATGCAGATTTTGAAAGTTTAACAACTAAGATAGATACATGTCAGCCAGATCCCAAGAGCTCTTACATGCAGAAGTACCAAAAACATGAACCCATGAGTTTCTCACTTTACATTAAATATAAGCACGGAGACTACAAACCGCCTATCACATATAGAGGTCCAAATGCAACTAAAGTATTTTACGAAACGTTGAAAGCTGAGGCCTTAGAGATAAAGAAAATTTATGATAAGAAGCACCCAATCAAAATTACTGATGAAGATGACAGGCATTTCAAGAGAACCCATATATGTCATATCTGCGGGTTTAACATCAAAGAAGTACCATCACCATATTCGCCGAAAGACTCTGAGGACTCTGAGGACTCCGAAAGACAAAAAGTAATGGATCATGACCATTTACTCGATCCATCCAAACATGAATCAAACTATAGAGGGCCAGCTCATAAATTATGTAACTTAATGTACCAATACCCTTCCCTCATTCCTGTCTTCATTCACAAACTTATCTGGGTACGATTCTCATTTATTCATAAAAGAGCTAGGTGGTGATAATGGGAATATCGATGTCATTCCAAACACTGAGGAAAAATACATTTCATTCAGCAAAGAGGTTGGAGCGGAATGGGTAGATGCAGGTGATGGTAAAAAGGTCAAGCTACCCGGAATAAAGTTGAGGTTTCTGGATTCTTTTAAGTTCATGGCTAGCAGCATTGATAGTTTAGCCAAAAATGTGAAAGAATTCAGAGAAACAGCCAAATTCTTTCCCAAGGACAAATTGGACCTCGTTACCAGAAAAGGCGTGTATCCGTATGATTATATGGACTCGTGGGATAAATGTGACGAAACACGACTACCCAACAAAAAAGAATTTTACAACAAAATGACTGAGTCGGATATATCACACGAGGACTATGCACATGCCAAAACAGTATGGAAGACCTTCAACATTAAAAATTTAGGTGAGTATTCTGATTTGTATGTGAAGACTGATGTACTGATCTTAGCTGATATTATGGAACATTTTAGAGATGTCTGCATAAGGACTTACAAATTGGATCCTGCATGGTACTTCACTGCACCCGGTCTCTCTTGGGATGCTATGTTAAAAACCACTGGAAAGGAATTAGAATTATTGACTGATTATAACATGATTTTAATGTTAGAAAAAGGAACCAGAGGTGGGATTTCTCAGTGTTGTAATAGGTATGGGAAAGCTAATAATAAATATATGAAAGACTATGACAGAAGTAAAGAATCTAATTATTTAATCTACCTAGATGCCAATAACTTGTATGGATGGGCAATGAGCCAATTTCTACCATATGGCGGCTTCAAGTGGGGGGATACCGATATAGATGTAACAGCGATCCCCGACGATTCAGATGTGGGTTATATCTTAGAATGCGACTTGGAATATCCTGAATATTTGCATGATCTCCATTCAGACCTCCCACTAGGAGCTGAGAACAGAGTTCCTGATGGCTCAAAACATACAAAATTACTAACAACCTTATATGACAAGATCATTATGTGGTTCATTACAGGGGTTTGAAACAATTTTTTACAAATGGGCTTAAAATTGAAGAAAGTACACAGGGTATTAGAGTATAAGCAAGCACCTTGGCTGAAGACATATATCGACTTGAACACTGAAATGAGAACTAAAGCAACTAATGACTTTGAAAAAGATTTCTATAAACTCATGAACAACTCTGTGTTTGGTAAGACAATGGAAAATATTAGAAAAAGGCTTGATATCAAACTGTGCTGTGATGCGGAGAAAGCCGAAAAACTTATTGCTAAACCAAATTTTAAAGGAAGAACCATATTTGAAGAAAATTTAGCCGCTATACATATGCACAAAACTGCAGTACTCTTTGATAAACCTATCTATGTTGGAATGAGTATCTTAGATTTATCCAAAACTTTAATGTACGACTTCCACTATAATGTGATGGCACCTAAATATGGGAAAAACATTATACTGTTGTACATGGATACGGATAGTTTCATCTATGATATAAAAACTGATGATTTCTATGAAGATATGAAAGGAATGCTTGAACATTTTGACACGTTTGATTATCCGGAGGATAATAGGTATGGAATGCCGCGAGTTAATAAAAAGGTTTTGGGGAAGATGAAGGATGAAAATGCAGGGGGGATCTTGGAAGAGTACGTTGGCTTAATATCTAAGATGTATGCCTGTAAAACTGAAAAAGACTTAGTTAAAAAATCAAAAGGTATTAAGAAATGTGTAGTGAAAAATAGAATTACTTTCGAGGATTACAAAAACTGTCTATTCTCACATCAAAAACAGTACAGATCTATGAATCTCATTAGAAGCACAAAACATAATATTCATTCCATACAAGTAAATAAGATTGCCCTTTCAGGAGATGATGACAAGCGGCACATATTACCAGATGGTATCCATACCTTGGCTCACGGTCACTATGCGATAAAGAGCAACCTCAAAAGTCACCTGTACAGACGCCAGGCGAAGGATCAGCATTTTGGTAAGGCCCCCAAGAAACCTCTCCTCTATAATAGCTCGGCTACGTACTGAACATTTCAAGGGTATCACCAACTGGTCCTATCCCAACTGCTGTCCTGAATCCCTCATGCCTCTTCGAACTCCGCCAATAGAGATCCGCCTCCAGAACTGGCAGCACCAAGACTTTTTGATTTTTGCACCTCATGCACTTATGTATAGACATGACAACAACATTATCAATCAATTTAAAAGGGGTTAAAAGGAAGACTTATTAAAATAAATATGGACATGACGGAAGAAATGGAGGAAATAATGAGATTGTTTAGTCCAGACACAGAAGTTTCTTCAGACTTGAAAACTAAAGAGTGTGAACACAAATATGTAATTGGTGATGACTGGTACAATTGCCAAGCATGTGGTGAAGAACTGAGATATAATCCAAATAAACCCCCTATCAAATTAGAAGATTTATATTTCGAAAAGGCGCAGACAGCTAGAATGAAAAGCAGAATGACAAATCTTTATAAATGGATAAGTAAGTATAACTTTCCTTTCGAAGAAGAGCTTATGATTGATTTGTCATCTTTTATCTCTAAATACATAGAGTTGTATCCGAAGCGTAAGAACTTAATTAGCAAAGACTATATTTTATACCAAATGTTACGGAAAAGAGGTGGTTATGAGGTCCCACTTAAGCTACCTAAACTGATGACAACGCTAGCTCAGAATGAAGAAATCTGCAGAACCATCTTCGATGCATTAAATTGGAGCACAAATATGGGTGCGATGACCCCAATGAGTGAATTATAATTTTTAATAGCTTTCGTCGGCTATTAAAAATAAACTAAATCCTTCTTATCAATCCAGCTAGTCTCAGGATAGCCTAACCATTTTACTAGATATTTGTCCCCTTTCTTTTTGATGACTTTTTCAATCTTATATACGTTGTCTTTCTTATCATACTTTACCAATTCATTTTCATAAAAAGTACCTTTAACCTCTTCATTATTTAAATCCTGAACTCTATAAGTGATTGGATCAGTTTCTAATACTTCAGAAATGACAAATATTTCTTCTGTAAAAGTTGCTTGATAACCTCTTCTGAAGGCAGACTTATATATTGATATTCTTACTTTATCTCCTACTTGGTATTTAGGTTTATGTATGACCTTTTCTTTAAACAAATTGTGATACACATCACCACTGTTTTCTTTTAGACTGGCTTCAACAGGTGTCATTTTGATACTTCTGTGGTAGGAATTGTTATAATTTTTTACTAACTGACTCAATACATCTATGTATCTTTTTGTATTGTTTGCTGCTAAATATTTTCTAATTTTACCGTTTAAAGTTCTGTTGAACCTTTCCACTATGGAGCACTTGATTTCGACATTTTCAGTAGTAAACCAGTGAATATTATTCTCTTTAAACAGTTGTTGCGTCTCTTTGTTAATGAACTCGGTCCCCTTGTCTGTCTGAATTTTTTGAGGAATTCTTTCCTTAAAGATCTTTTTAAAAAAACGCTATAGTAACTTCTTCTCCCGTTTTTCTGCGAACTGGTATAGCCCAAGCATATTTGCTAAAAATGTCTATGACTGTTAGTAAGTAGTTGTTACCATCATTAGAACTTGATAATGGTTTTAAAAATAGCAAGTCTGCTTGCCATTGGTCGTCAATGTGTGATACGTAAGTTCTCCTTCTTTTGAATTTACGGATAAGTGGTTTGTGTTTGGTATAAACATCTTGCTGGTGTAAGAACTCTTCGATATCCTTTCTAGGAACATGCACCTTCCTCTGAAGCTCCTTGATGCCGCAATATCCAGTTTCAGGATCATAGTACACATCTCTCAGTCTAGGGGTGTTCTGAGTTACCCCGTCAACTTTAAAAAAGAACTTTTCCTTGATCCACACTTTTCACACTTTCCTTTCATAATAGGCCTTCCGTTGCTTGTTACCGAATTTTCAACATTTAGTGTACCTGTCTTCTTTTTACAAATCAAGCAATATGTCACAATAGCACCTAGTCCAAAAACTCTTTTGGTTTTTATGATAGGTCGGATGATAGCCCTAGCTTGTTTTTCTCCGAGTGGATAAAATCCGCTGTTTGGGTTTTCAATGGCATCTAAATCCTTTAAAAGCTCTTCATCTGCAACATGTCTCTGTCTAGTGTCTTTTGTTTGACTGTATGCTATGTCATGCTTCTTACATGCTTTATCTACTCTGTTAACTCCTGGATCCCCTCTAGTCAATCTTTTAGAAAGCTTTGTAAAGGTCCACAGTACTGATAACCAGGAAGATGCATTTCTGGTGGATTGAGCTTATCTTGCATCCAACCGACTAAATCTCCACCTTTAATCTTTCTATCTTGTTTGCTCATTTATTAAGAATAGAAAATTATTTTTCGTACCCGTTCAAAACCTTTCTCCTTTAAATATTTTTTCCATGGGGAAGTACTTCAAGTCCTTAATAAATTCTTGCTCTTTAATCAAAGCTTCCTCCTCCGAAATAGTCTTTGCTCTCAAGCAAGCATTTAGTAAAGACTTATAAAACTTGTAGGCAAACTTGTATTCTTCTTTCCTTTCTGTTCTGCGACATGCAAGGATTTATCAATAATCTCTATGACACTGGCCACGATGCTCAAGGATGCTAAGGGAAGCAGAGCGAAAGCTGTCAAACTCGAAGTACCAAACAAAGAACTTCGCAATTGTCAGAGACAGACTAACATCACTGTAGAATTTGTAGCTTTTTCTGTATGCGTACAAGCATGACTCTAATTTTTTGTTCCATGTTTTATTTAAAGAAGAAAAACATTTCCTATACCTCATTTCAGGGTTAACTAAATCAAGCATGAAAAAATCATGAGGTTTCGTGACACACTTTTTGTACATACTATCGAACTCCTCGCTGGTGAGACTACCATCGATTTCCCTCAGGATTTGTTTAACCTCTCTTGGTTGGAGTCTAAAGAAGATAAAGTAGTTACAGTTCTTGCGTATGTTGATGGGTGTTGAGTAATATGATTGAGATATATAGATGATGGACGCATTTTTCTTCCTACCTCTTATGAATAGGTCCTCTATGACTTTTTGCTTCTTTTCTGTCACGCAGTCATCGAATACAACTAGATTCTTAACGTTAGGATCAAGTTCATCTACTGTTATAAAATCGCCCAACTCTGACGTGAATAATGTTTCCTTCTTGAATTTGTGAAACATTTCTAAAACTTTTTCTTTATCAACCTTCTTAACTTTTTTAAGGCTAAGAATATCATCTTCCTCTATATCATTAAACTGCGTGTATGTTTCTTGTAGAGATGAATACTTGGGCTCAAAGATGTCTTTAGCACATACGTAGAGATTGTCAAACTTCAACCAATCATAGATGAAGTTAAGAAGCAAGTTTGTCTTACCACACCCTGAAGGTCCGGTGATTAAAAGTCTGAAGGGATGTTTGGGTAGCAAAGGATGCTGATCAGCATATGCAAACTCTTCAGGTTGCGTGTAATTCTTTATTCGAATCATATCTTTATTTAAGGTGAAAATATTTGCTTTAAGGCAAAAAATATTTACTTTAAGGCAAAAACATTTACTTTAAGGCAAAACTTTATTTGCTAAGTAATAAAGATGAATCAATTAGAAAAGGAACGCATTGAAAAGATAAAGGGGCAGATACTAGCCCAAAAAAGATTGGGTGAGTTACAAAAAGATCTTAGAAGAAAAAAAAAGAGCAGCAGCTTCAAGAAAAATTAGGTGTTCGAGAAATGTTAACAGAGTTTCATAAGCCTGTGACAGAAGAGATGACTAAGCAGGAAGTATCTAGAAACAAACACCTTAAAGCTGTTCAGGATGCAATACAGGAAATATCCTCTCCATCGTTAGAGTCCACAACAATTCCAGAATTGGATTATGGAATAAAAGATTTGGAGCGCAGGATTTATAATTTAAACTTAAATAAGGATATCGACGAGTCTTTCATTCGGGAAGAGGGGTTTTGAACTACCATCGGAATTAGTGAACAAAAGTGAGGGCGAGCTGAATGAAATCATAAAACGCGCCAACGACAGAAATAAAGAATTCGGAACTAGAAAAGGGCCTATGAAAAAAGAATGGAAGAAACAGTGCAGAAGATAATGAAGATAGGAAAAAATATTTAAGAAAAGAGTTGGACAAGTTCGACTACAAAATTCAAATGATGAGGAACTATACAAAAGCACTCAAAACACTCAGGGATGGAAATTATTATTCAGGCGAGGGTATCGATAGGGTGGAGCTGCTTTCGCGACTGACGGATAAAAGATGTGGAGGGAATAAAAGTAAAACGCTCTACAATAAAATCGTTACTCTGTTGGATGCGCTTTTGAAAAAGGGTGAGCTAACTAATGATTTTGTAAAAAGCTACTACGCAAAGTTTTTGAGCTAACTAAAATTTTCTCTACATATAATAAATGAGTAACTACATTAAAATAAAAGTGCATCTGACTGATCATCAGATCAACAAGTTAAAGACTGCACACAAGAAAAAGAGGAGGTCACTCTACAGATCAATACCTCCAAGGCGCCAAATCATGATCTATATCTTACACAAACACAGATCGAGCAACTAAAGAAGGGCAAACGCATAAGATCAGCAAAACACAACTGGAGACAAATGGTGGATTCTTGCCTTTTCTTCTTCCCATTCTTACTACTTTAGCTACCGGTGCTCTTTCGGGGCAGCTGGATGGGGAGCCAAAAAGATTATGGATAAAGTAAGCGGATCCGGTTGCGGGGGAAAGAAAAAAAGGGGAAAGGCGTTCTACAAAACTGGGAATCTCGAACAAAATGATTGAGGAATGCATGAATGGTGAGAGAGGATTTCGTGGCGTCTTCACATCAGACTTGCTACCCAAAAAGATGAGAAAGTTTGAAAGTGGAATTATTAATTTAGACTTGTCGACAGGGCCTGGAACACATTGGGTGGCTTACTACGACGATCCAAAAAATAATTTTGTAGAATATTTTGATTCATTCGGAGACTACAAATATAAAGGTACTACTTTAAAGGATGACACTATCCCGGCAAACATATTTCAT